GGTATGTGGTCTGTGTGGTGTGTGTGGGGGGGGATGTGGTGTGGGTGTGGGTGTGTATGTGGTGTGTGTGTGTGTGGTGTGTGTGGTGTGCGGTCTGGGTGGTGTGTGTGGGTGTGTATGTGGTGTGCGTGGTGTATGTGTGGTATGTGGTGTGTGTGTAGTGTGTGGTATGTGGTCTGTGTGGTATGTGGGGTGTGTGTGGTATGTGGTTTGTGTGTGGTATGTGGAGTGTGTGTGGTGTGTGTATGTGTGGTATGTGGTCTGTGTGGTGTGTGTGTATGTGGTGTGGGTGTGTGTGTGGTGTGGGTGTGTGGTATGTGGTGTGGGTGTGGGTGTGTATGTGGTGTGTGTGTATGTGTGGTATGTGGTGTGTGTGTGGTGTGTGTGTGTGTGGTGTGTGGTGTGTGTGTGTATGATTTCATTTATTTGTCCTCAAGGAATTTTACTGAAGATCAGATTTATTTCCACTTAATATCAATTCTTAAAAAATGTAATTTCTCAAATGTGTTCAGATACATGCAAGACACTTTTTTTGATGGAAACAGGCAGGTTGCCTCATTAGTGGAGGAGCCAAGCACGGTAGTAACCTGCTCTTTCTCGCTTTCTCATTTAGGGAAGACCGTTGTCCTACAAGACCTTCTTAATATGGGTTTTGATTAGCATCTATCAAGGTAAGGAAAGCGAGACCACCTGTTGTCTTGTGCTAAGGGTCAGCTTTTCTGTTGTCCATAGAACATGAAGAGAAGAAGCTGGAACCCTGAAATTTGGTTAAGGAGCGGGACAGTGTGCCCCAAGGGAGGCCAGGCCCTGCTTGGCGTGTTCTAAGGACTGGAACATTCAGCACGGTGATAGATCTGTGAGGTGGTGCCATCTGCCTCATGAGATAAAGTCCGAGAAAAAGATAAGGGAGGGGCACCTGGGTGGCTCAGTCGTGAAGCATCTGCCTTCGGCTCAGGTCATGATCCCAGGGTCCTGGGATCGAGCGAGCCCTGCATCGGGCTCCCTGCTCCGCGGGAAGCCTGCTTCTCCCTCTCCCCCTGCTTGTGTTCCCTCTCTCGCTGTGTCTCTCTCTGTCAAATAAATAAATAAAATCTTAAAAAAAAAAAAGATAAGGGATACTACTCAAAACCTGACAAGGTGCTTAAGCTATTGTAACAGAAAGTGTTAGCTTTTCTGGAATGTTCTAATACTTTTTCGGAGGTCAAGTTCTAGTTTTTGAAAGATGTATTTACCTCAGTGGCCTCCAGGGAGGGTCCCTCAGATTGCAGAGATTTTGTAAGATGACTTACGAGTATAGGAGAAGAAAATATCAAAACCTTTGTTGGTGTTTATTTCTATTTTGAGGTATGTTTTATAATGTGCACATAATTGTGCAGTGGTCCTGATATCTGTCTATGTCAGCCCAGGTACCAACATATAATTTACAGGTATACATTGTATGTTGGGAGGTCTTACAGATGGGACATCCAACCAAAAGGTGTAGAAACCATTAAAATTGTTGGCAGGAGGTTAAATTGTCATTAAAAAATAGAGGATTTTTTTTTTTTAAGAACTCCATCAGAGCATAATGTATGCATAGATTTTTGCAGCTACCTTTTATGTATAGAAGTTCATAGATAATGAACAGGGAAGCTCCATGTCACCCCTCCATCTTGAACCCTGTCACAGTAGGCAGTGGCTTGAGGAGTTTTGGGGTTTAGCATCTAGTAATATTTTTGTGCTGCTTGTAGTTGGGATCTACGCGAGCACCATCACCGTCTCTGGTTCTGCTGTGCTAGAAAAACACGTATCCGTATGCTGTACCCTCCTCCACTTTCCTTTCTTGCCCTGTTCTAGGGGCATGACACTGAGTGTCTCTGGGTTACCGCTGTCATTTTGTGTGTGTGTGGGGGGGTGGTGGCTAAAAAAACACATGACCTAAGATTCACCATCTTAACTCTTTTTAAGGGCACAGTTCACTAGTGTGCAGTGTATTCACAGCGGTGAGTTACATTGTACATTTATAGCGTTACATTGTTGTAAGAATAGATCTCCAGAACTTTTTCATCTTTGGGAAGCTGAAACTCTGTCCCCATTCCCCCTTCCCTTTCAATTCCTCCAATGTGACTACTTTAGATACCTCCTAGAAGTAGAACATCCACAGTATTTGCCTTTTTGTGACTGCTTACCTCTGTCATTTTAAATAATAGATTTAAGCTTAAATTTCTCTTTCTTGTTGCATCCACTCCAGATGGTTACTCTGCCCTGCCTCTCTTCCGTTTTCCTTCTTTCCATCTCTCTCCCTCCTTCTCTCTTTCCTTCCTCTTTGTCCCTCTTCTCCTCTCCCCTGCAATTATAGACGCCTTATTATATAAGGTCCAAAGGGAAAATGGGAAACCAGAATGGGACACCTCTTTAAAATCTCCGTAAAGCAGCACTCGTCAGCCTCATTTAGCAAGTGTCATCTTTCGTGTCTAAACGGAAAATAAACAAAAAGGAGCCCCCGCCTGTGAGCAGCCCCAGGAGCCCCGGGCGGGGAGCGCGGGGGGGCGGCATCTGCGGGCAGGCAGGGCGGGGTGGGACGCCGGCTTCCTGTGCCTTCGCAGGGAGCACCATCATGTACGGGGCCCTGCTGCTGTTTGAGTCCGAGTTCGTGCACATCGTGGCGATTTCCTTCACGTCGCTGATCCTCACTGAGCTGCTGATGGTGGCCCTGACGATCCAGACGTGGCATTGGCTCATGACAGTGGCTGAGCTGCTCAGTCTGGCCTGCTACATCGCCTCCCTGGTGTTCCTACACGAATTCATCGGTAAGAGCCCCCCGCCCCCCACCCTGGGGCTGCATCCTGGCAGTGGGGTCCGGGGGCCTCCCGGGACTCATCCTGAGCTCTTTGTCCAGCAGGCCTTGGCACTCAGTGGCCCCCATTTTGTTACTGGCGTCCCCTTGGGGCAAGTGGCAGTTGTGACTCAGCTTCCTGGAACAGAGGTTTTCGGGCATGATGTCAATAGGGTTTCCTTTTAAAAGCACACTGTGTTAACTGGCCTAGAAGGGGATCCCATGTAATTCAGCAAAGACCGGGTGGGATTCTTGAGGGAGCTGGTCACTGTGCTGGGCTCTGGGGGGCTGTGGAGAGGTCAGACGTCCAGGTCTTGCTCATGAATAAGTGATAACCCCGCAGGATTTGTCCTTATCAGGAGGTGGAAAAACTCCGCCTTTCCCTGAAAGCACCTCTGATTCCATCTCTTGTTGATCAGCAAACGGTCCTTAAGGTTCTGGTAAAGGTAGGAGGAGCATCCTGTGAAAAGTGAAGTCCTCAAGGAGTTTCACACTTGTTCTGAGAGTCTGTCCGAATGGGTTTTGTCAGTGCCTGCTGTGCGTGCAGTGGCTTGGGGGTGTTGAGCTCTGCCCTTGGGAAGCTGCCACGGGGCCGGCTGGGCAGCCATGGGTGGGCTCCATGGCTGGGCACTCAGTGGGACCGCGGCCGGTGCCAGCCGCCCGCTCCCCATCCTGAGCTCCACTTCTGCGGAAGCCCACGGCCGTGCTCTGCTCTCGCAGAACCCTCTGGACTGCAGGCTTACTGTCCTGCAGCAGAAGGGGGCACCTGTGCTTATCTGGAAGCCCCCCGAGGCTACCCCCATTTCCCACTCGGCACCGCCCTCAGGCCCCACTGACCTGGGCTTTGGTGCTCATCCCAGAGGCGAAGGGAAAACGTTTCTGGTGTTGGAGTGCCTTTCTGCTCTCGGGCGGCGGGGTGTACAAAGAAAAACCCTGGCTGTCAGATTCCACATCAGAAACACCTGTAAGAATTGTTTGTGCCCCTCGTTTTCTTTCCCTGGTGTTGGAAACAGCATTTCAGTGACTGTCAGTGAACTCAGCTGCAGAAGCAGGTCAGGGGAGGGAGCTGGGAGTCTCGCAGGAAGCACAGGGCCAGTGCCAGGAGCCATATGTCGGTGGCGGGAGACAACTCCCGCCCATCCCCCCGGATCATTATGCTGGCTATTCTGAGCTGCACACGCCTTCCGGAACATTCTGCCTGCTCACTGCTGTCTTCCCGTTTGCTTGCAGATGTGTATTTCATCGCCACTTTGTCGTTCTTGTGGAAGGTCTCCGTTATCACTCTGGTCAGCTGTCTGCCCCTGTACGTCCTCAAGTACCTGCGGAGACGGTTCTCCCCGCCCAGCTACTCGAAGCTCACATCGTAGGCGTGTGCTGGCCCGGGGCACAGTAGCCTCTGCGCTCTCCTGGTGGGCAGAGTTCAAGTTGCGTTGTTCTTAACCGCCACCTGTGGATCTTGCAGTAATCACTAACATGTGCAGTTTTGACATGAAAAGGCTCTGCGCGGAGTCCTGACGCTGAATGATCGGGGAGGTTCCTAGAAGGGGCCCACGCGGGCCTGCTCGGGCCCCTGGCGGTTCGGCCCGGGGTGAATGTACATATGTTAAAGCTGGTGGCTCAGCTAACAGATTTATACATGGGTCACTGTGCGAGCTTCCTATGACTTGAATTTTGTTGTCATGTGATAAAAGTTTCTAATTGACGATTGTAGAGGGGTTTTTGTTTTAAACCATCCTAATGTGTGTGTACTCTTTACATCTTTCTCGCTCTTAAAAACCGGTTGTTTCAGAGAAATGTAAAAGCTCTTGGTATAGGTTTGCGGGAAAAGACTGTGACTTTGGTAGAAAGTTATGCAGACGGTAATCTCAAGGTGGAAATGCGGAACATCCTGTCCGAGGTGGCGCTGTTCATCCTGCCCTCCGCACCGGCTCCCTGGAGTGACACAAAGCAAATGGGAGGAGAGAGTGAGAGAACGGGCCTAAGTGCAGTCTGGTCTCCTCCCTCGGACTCAGCGTCTCCAGCGCTTCACTTAGCTCCACCTGCCACCTCGCAAAAGAATTTCAAAAGTGTTATCCTGCTTTGTTTGGACCTGGTAACAATTATCAAGCCTTTGGCCGTCCGAGGACACCCTCAGACGTTTTCAGCAGAGTTGTTGTAGCAGGAAACGTGCCACCGAACAGCTCCCAAACGTGTCGACAGAGTGAGACTCAACTGATTCTTTAGACGACGCTGCACATGTGGCCGGGCCCCTCCGAGTCCTGAGGGCAAGGTCAGGGATGGGGGCTCGAGGCTTCCACACAAGTCTGTTTTCCATCAGGAGGCTGAATGACAAAGGCAGAGGCGTCTCACGTGTTGCCGCGCATCGTTTGTCGGTGGTCGGTGGCCGCCCCGGTGGGAGGAGGCCCGGGCTCCGTCGCGCTGCCCACAGCTTTCAAGGGGAACTTGCTGGAAGGCAGGCGGTGGTAGAGATCCCTCCCCCACAGGGACAGAGTACACGCATGTGTGTTTCTCATAAAGCTGTGGCTTCTTGCTTCAGAGGAGGAAGGGGGTGTGCAAGGCCTGCACGGGGCAGGGCAAAGCATTCATTCTTGGGTTTTCAAGTCGCTCGGCGCCACAGCCGCATATGCATGGCACCAGGGTTCGGCTGGTCGATCTTCCAGAGCTGACCGTGCTCAAGATCTTGGACTTGGATTAATTCCTTCAGCCCTCCTGCTTGTGTGGGCTTCAGGGCTCCGAGCTCCGGCCTGGTGGCGGCGCCCACTACCCTCCGGGCATCCGGTTCTGGGGGAGTTGGGGGTGGGAGGAACAGGCGGTGGTCCCCTTCCCTGGGGAGCCCTCTCCATACGCTCGTGTGTTTATGTTGCCCGTTTAAAACTTCATAAAATGGCCGTAGGTTTCAGGCACTGGGAAGCTGGCTGTAGACATGGCTTCTGTGTTAAGATTGTGCATTTCTGCAGTCACGTTTGCCTTCCTGTGCCGCCCATTCCTGCCACACAGAAAAGACCTACAGAGAATATAGGTTGCAGTGAATGGTTATTTAGGAATAGGACCTTGGTCCCAAACTCTTAGAAAGATCGAACACATCAGACATCTTCCTGAGTGACGTTATGGAGTTTCATAGGTAGGGGAGGGGAGCGTGGGGCTCAGTTTCACATTTCCGATCTGTGCTTTTGGAAGTCCAATTATAAGTCTTAAGTCGTTCCGTTCTGAGTTTGCAGACCCTGAAACTGGCCTTCTTCACAGGTGATGGCTCCTGAGGTAGGGCTTGTAGAACTATTGCTAGGAAATTTTAGACGTTCCCAGCAGATAGAGGGAGATGGTCTCTCTGGTTTTTTCCCTCAAGTCCCAAGTTTGATCCAGGTGTGTGAGTTGACTTTTGAAGTCAACACCTGAGATACTGCTTGCCATCTCCAAGGAAGGAAGCTTCTCAGAGAGGCTGAAGAAGCCCCCCTGCCCCCCGGAAGTTGAAGGATGCTTGTCTGTACCATTGCAAACCTTTTTCCCTTGTCTCGGCCATACTCTGGTAGGCAGTCAAGGGCCAGAGGGACCGGAACCCAAGTGGAGCCCAGACCACCATGCTGTGGAGCGGCCCCATTAGTGGGCAGCCTGTTCACACCCCCTGCCGGGGGGCCTCGAATAGCCAGGAACACGCGTGCTTCTCAAAGTTGGAGCCTCAAAGGGCAGGATCCTCACCTGCACATGTCAGACTCATCCCAGCAGAGAGAAGTGGTGCACACGCGGGTTATCTTAGTTATGGGGGAAGACAAACACCCGAGCTACTTTATAGGAAACTCCTGAGTTCATAAACTGTAAGCATAAGGATTCTGTTGACCATTTCCTTGGTTTACCAATCTGGAAAGAATTTAGGAAGCACCACTGACCCCTTCCCCTCTTTTTGGACCTCAGTGGGACCTAAGTCTCTGACAGCTGATTTAATTCGAGGCTGGAGGCCCCACGGCATGCCATCAGTGCTGTTCAAACATTTCTCCTTGAAGTAAAAATTACAACCCCCCCCCGCCCACCCTCTGACACCACCACCCATTTCTGTCACAGTAAGCACATATGTTTTATGATGATTTTTATTCGATCTTTTGGTGATCGTTGTGTGTGCGTGAGGACAATGGGATCTGTTTGTGGTTTCTCCTTTTTCCCTCCTTCCTCTAAGAAAATGACCAGATGGAGCTTCTCCATCTCCAGTAATTTCTGATGCCTGACAGTGTTGGTTCTTGTTTGGCGGCTGTGCGGGCACAGGTGCGCATTGCCCGCGATGCTGGGAGAGGCTGGTTGCACTGACTGGGGCTGCTTGGGGCGGCGGACTCCGTCATGGAGCCATGGAGGGCATCCCCGGGAGCATCCTGACATCGGAGCAAACAACCTGTTTGCAGCTGCTGGGAGCTGGGAGACCAAGAGCTGGGGTGTCTCCCACTGTTGCGGTTATTCTATCCAGGTCTCAGGCCAGCTTCCCTTAATAAGTGAAGCCCTTTCATGTCGCAGTAATCTTGAATACCAGTGTCTGCTTACCCTTCCCTTAGTGTGTTCTCTGCTGAAAGTTTAGGTTACACTGACAACTTTTGAATGTATTTTGAGTTTTGTGCTCATTGGAAATTGACATGATAATGCCTCTTCTTTCTCCGGGCTTTTGCTTTTATACTTTGTTTTGTTTTTACTGGGGTGGGGATGGGAACGCCCTCATGCCTTTATGGGGCAGCATTTTAAACCTTTGCCAAAATTTGCTGATGGGACCTACATGTGCTTCCACTCCATCCTATTGAAGGCAAACACCTGTCAGCTGTTTAATCTGTGTGTAAGTGTGTGTGTATGTGAGTGTGTCACCTCCAATTTTTTGATGAGATACTTGGTTTGCATTTAAATCCCGTTAATCCCAGCTTTGTTTTCATTAAAAAGCATACAAGGAGCTTTGTAAATACAACCGCTTTTATCTCCTCCCTTCCTTTAATGTAAAGCCTTTTGTCATGTATACTTATGGGGAAATATTTCCACTAATGATGTTCATTTCGTCTTGGAAAAGTATATGTTTTTGAATGGAACGGAGAGGCACACCATGGCGTGAGCAGCGCCCTGAAGACCTTGAGCTCTGCGGCACCTGCTCACGCCCCAGCAGCTTTACCTGCGGATCTGTCCTGGTCACCCCGTGGTCAGAGGTGCCGTCCGTTCACATAGCTGGGCAACGTCAGTGAATCCCGTGTTTGTGGGGGGGGGGCAGGTGGGGGATGCACAAAAAAGTTGTGGCTAATCTCTGATTTTGTTGCAATGGGGCTAACTATAAACTCTCCTAGGAGTCCATGTAGGTCTGTACGGGTGATCGCCTTGCAGATACTCACCAGGACAGCGTTTTGTCATTAGAGGGAAGCCTGGTACAGGATGCTTTAATTTAGTGGGGACTCCCAGATGATTTAAATTCTCGATCCTGTGATGATACACATGTGATCCTGCGTGTTTCTGAGCGGTTCTCCTTTCATGGTCTGCCAGCCTGGCCCGTCGCTGTTGCCCAATAAAGCTTGTGTACTTTATGCCTTTGGGGGATCATTTTAATTTGTGCAGAAACATGAATTCTGGTGTCAAAATGAAGGCTGTTTTGTGTGTAACTCATGGTACAAAAAATGTGAATAGCTTTTTCTCCAGCTAAAGTTATTTCGATTTTGGCAAAAAAAAAAAAAGAAAAGAAAAAAATCCCATCCCAAACCCATGCATTATTATTCTGTACTGTTGTCTATTCCAGACATGTCAGAATTTCAAAAGGTAATCGATACAAATAGGAAAAAACATTTTATAAGATTATTTATATACGTAGTCCTTGATCAGTTTAGGTACCTTTTTTTTTTTTAATCAAGATAGATTTAGGAACGCAGTCACCTAAGTTTTAGGGAGAAGAGGTTTGTAAGCTGTTGTGTAGGAAGCAGAGGACATGTTTTATTAAGTTCACCCAGTGCCTCTCAGCCAGGTAGAGTCGGGAAGCACTTTTGGTTGTCACAACTGGGGCGGGCTGCTCAGGGACCTAATGAGGGAGAGGCCAGCGATGCTGCAGGACGGCCCCCACAACATGGAATTACTCGACCCGGAATGTCCAACGTGCTGAGGTTGAGAACCCTCCTCCCCATCCCCCTACAACCCGCACGTGTCCAATTTATCATTTGCAGGAGACTTTCTTCATTTCCAGAGGAGTGCAGCGATGGGAACGCCGGTGTCTCAGGGAACCAGCTACGTACACACCCAACTGGCCAAGTGTTTTAATTAGGAGCTATTTGCGGTGTGTGCTGCTGGTTTCCTCCTCCTGGCTCTGCGCTGCAAGGGTCATCCTCAGTTTATCGATTAGAAAGGGAATTGTAAACTAGCCGCCTCTCAACCCTGTAGTGGCTCCTCTGGGCAAATTGGAGGCGCGTGCTCTCAGCCCCTGTGACATGGGTTCCAGAGGGGTAGACAGACCCACAGTACTTTTCCGGAACGGGTGCTATCAAGGTAGTCATGCCTCAGCTGTGAAATTCCATGCGCGTGCAGACACTGCCCCTTTCGCGCCACTAGGGGGAACTTGAGATTGAAAGACCTTTATGTTTCCTGTTTTCAACAACCAGGAAGGTCCCGGAGCCCAGCCGCTCTGTTCAAGACGCCACTTTCATAGCTCAGAACTGATTTCATGGCCAACGGCTCTGTTAAAAACAGACATTTCTTTTTATGTTGTTGACCAGACTATTTTGCTGGACTTCGCTTAAAAAAACACACGCACAAAAAAACTAGGGTTGGGAGGGGGGTGTGTGTGGGGAGATGAATATTTATTTGATCTTGGATATTTGTATTCTTGAATAGTTGGCAACTGGGAGGCCTTGCCCTACTCCTTATTCAGGCTAATAAGGTTTTGAGACGAAATGTTCCAACACCCCAAGTACTTTAACTGTTTTTGTTATGAAACTTTTTCAGGGTGACATGAAGCCCTGCGGTATTTGTGAGGAGATCTATAAATGATGGATTTGCTCACCTCAAAATAGAACTGTAGTCGCTCCAAACTTTCCAGAAGTCGAGCACAGTAACAGAATTCATTCAGGACTTGCTAATTTCCTACTTGAAATGGGTTACATAACAAGAACAGTCCCGCCTTCGTGCCTCTCAAAACTACCCATGTAGTGATGGTGAAATGTATCATTAAAAGCTAGAAATAGCTTTGCTAAACTCTGGGAAAAAGAGTTTTTTTTCCTGATAGCTCCCCCTTTCCTTCACCCAAACATTGCATAATGTTAAAAAAGTCAACTCTTTCCGTGGGATTTAATTTCATCCTCCATGTGGCTGTGGTCGGAGGGATAACTTCAGCACTCTGGGGGCTGGCAGATTTTTGGAGGATCACGCATCCCCGGATCAGTTTCCATCCGAAGCCTTAGCAGACAAACACGCCCGATCCTGGGTTTCTCCCTTTCGCTCCTGCTCCCCCTTTGGTGGATGAGTTATCTATAACGTAGTGTCTTTTCAGAGAGCCTGCCTTCTTGTAGGAATGTCAAAGCCAAGCCACCCCTCAGCCTTCTGTGTTGAGGTTTGGACTTTGAAGTGCATTCCCACTAAGATTTGGGGTAATTGAATCATATTGTGAGGTCACTAGCTCCGCAACCTGTGCCCGACAACCGGGTGGGCCCCATTTCTTAGAACTCAGCCTGCAGGTTCTGTTTGCTCACACTAAGAACTTGGTGTTCCAAGCCTCTGCGGTCCATTTTCAAGAGATTTAAGAGCAAAGCATTTTCTTTTCTTTTATTGGGTCCAGATAAGCCCAGAAATATTTTTAAATTTTCTTCAAGAAAGATTGCAGAATCCTGAAAGAGAAAGGGGGACAGGGGTTGCTTTTTCATTCATTCATTCATTCATCAAATATTTACTGAGCACCTACTATGTGTTGGGTACTGTTCTTTGGGCTGGAGGACAGTGGAGAACAAGATGGGCCGTCCCTGCCTTCACTATGATTACATCCTTGTATGTGTGTGAGAGAGAAGACAGGTACGGATTCTAGTGTCCTAAGACAAAACAGGGTGAGGGGTGGGCAGAGGGCATTGATCCGGTAGGAGTAAGACTGGAGAAAGTGATGGGGGTCAGAGAAGCAACCCTTCGGGGATGAGCCCACTGAAGCAGAAGCCTGAAGGATAAAGAGGAGGGAGTTGTGGCAAGGTCTGGGGGAAGCAGCATTCATGCAGTGTGGGGTGTGCAAAGGCCCTGGGGTTGGAAAGGCTGGGTATGTTGGAGGAGCAGAAAGAGGGGCACATGGCTGGTGTGCTAAGACCAAGGGGGAACATGGAGGAGATGAGGGTAGGGACAGAGGTTAAGGCCTGCAGACCATGGCATTCAGACTAAGGCGTCCTGTCTGAGAACTGAGCAAGCATTATTCAAGTTTGCCTGCTACACTTGAACTGTGTCTGAGAGGCCCTGTTTCACTGCCGTCTCCTATGCCTCCCTGACCCATCCCTGCCTGTTCTCGTTTCCACCTCCGTGGTCTAAGAGGGCTCCGGGGAGACCCACCCCTCCCACTGGAATCAACCCACTCTCATCCCTGGTATTTCTTGTGATTTTATTGGCATAAACGACACTGTTAAATAAAGGGGAAAAGAAGCTGGTCCTTGGATGAAATTCTTGCTTTTCCAGCAAATACTACCAAGGCCTTCTGTTCTGCTTGGGGTGCAGTGGGCGGCTGTTCATCTGAGAGTCCTGGAAAGCAGGCCACCTCAGAACTGGGAGGTGAGTCCGGGGGGAGGACAGGTAGAGAGAAGTGAACTGGGTCACGTTCTTCGAAGTTGCCACATTTCCAGAATATGCCCACTTGGGTCCGATGTCGAAGAGGAAGCCTGCGTGCGGGAGCCCAGGCTGTGTTCAAATTCCTCCCAAAGAAAGAAAGAATAACGAGAACAGGCTGCGGAAAAGAATGTAGTTAGTGTCTTAAAGATGGGCAAATATTCATTCTCATTTGTCCTTTTATGTGAAACAGATTTTTTAAAAGGCAATTGGAGTAGCTAATGACATCCAGAGCCCTGTTGATTCAGGGGGGCGGGGGTTTAAATTGGCCCCAGCGATTAATCAGACCCAAAGAAAGAGGTGAGTTGCTCGGGAATTCTTCAGAGACGGGGCCGATAATTAGGGTGTAAGATGCTGCTCCCTATGCACATAACTTAGCATAATTTTCTCAGGCAGCTCATCACCGCCAGAATTAGAGAAAAATCAGACCAGAAAGAATGCTCGCTGGGCTGACTCGTGCAGACGTGGAGACTTTTGCTCCAAAATGGCTTCAGGCTTGAGGAAGACACCAAGAAAAAGCGCTGCCTTTCTTCTGGGCCCTAACTCGAGGGAGAATAGAAATGAATGCGATGCCATTTTAGGGGAGGTGCGGGAACTTGGGGGCGGGCAGCCTAGGGACACGTGCCATGGACCCAGCTGGAATGGAGACAGATTCGAATACCAATTCCCATATTTACTGAGCGATGGGGGCCCGATTCCTACAATTCCCTGAGCTGGGGAAGGCGGGGAGTAGCCTCACCTCCACTGGGGACCTCAGCAAAGGGCGGGCTGCGCATGGAGGGAGGCCTCCTCGCTTCCAGACTCTTCAAACACGGAGGTCCCCCAACTGGAGAGAGTTCGCAGGGGATTTCGGATCTTGGGCGGAGGCAACATCTCCCCCTGAGTCTTTTCACTAACCTTTGCTGACCTCGCAGGCACTCTGCCTTCGAATGCCCGCCCCCCCCCCCCCCCCGGGTCCTATTCTCCCAGAGGTGCTCTGCGTGGGACACGAACCTGCCTGCATCACGCGGGGCTGGCCTGGGCCTCCCTAGGGACGCTCAAGGCCTTCGGGGTTGGGGGTAGATGTGGCCAAGGGAGAAAGGGGACTTCCCAAAGACTCCACTGACTCCGTGATCTGGGAGGCAGAATGAGAGCAAGTCACTGAATGGCCAATCATGTAACACTTTTTTTTTTTTTTTTTACACGAAAGCAAATTCATTACTGTAATAGAGAAGAAGGCAAATTTTGCTTGAGTTGTAAAAAAGAAACCGCAAGGCCTGGGCGATGTGTTGGGGGGGAAGGGAGGCTGGTGCCCGGGCAGGCGGTGCCTCTTCACTGGCTCTGCTCTTTACAGATCTAAGGCACAGCTGGTTTTATCCTTAGCCAGCCCAGGGCCGGGCCCATGGTTGGGGCTCAGTAAACATTGAGGGTCTGGTTTTTTAATTTTTATTGTGGTAAAATACACATAACGTAAAATTGACCATTTTAACCATTTTGGAATGTCTCGTTCAGTGACATCGAGTCATTGAGTTTTAAGAGAAGGTTCTGGAAAATTCAGGAACCTGACTGAAATAAGTGGACCTTGCCTTATCCTGGTATTTTAGAGTTGCACAGTGTTTCCCCTACCTGCCCCTCATGATCCCGGGAGGCAGGTGTTATCATCCCCATTTGGGAGGTGAGAAAAGCGTCACAGGGAGCCTGGGGTCAGATCAGGCCCACACAGCAGCACGAATGCTCATAGCAGCACTATTCATGATGGCAGAAAAAGTGGAAA